GTTTTTTTACTGAAATAAGATCTGGTTAATAATAGACATCTTTAGTTTAAAGCAGTCATTACTTACCTATGCTTAAATTTCCAAGTATCCAGGACTATATGTATCAATTGTTTCCAGTATTTCCCCAAACTCAGTTGATACTTTTCAAAGTTATACCTCTGATAAAAAGTCTCACTAGATTCTGCTGTAAATTTAAATAACTCTCCTCAAATTCAGTAGTAGCCGTACTACTTCAGGCTGACATTAATCAAGTGTCCACGATATGTCAGGTGTGGACAAAAGCAAGCGGCACACTGCCAACTGGTAGATATGGGCAGTAAAAATAAAACCGATGGCTTCAGTTTAAAATGCTACAATTAACTGAATGCTTTAACAGAGCATCTGGATTATTATGGGAATAAAGGAACTCAGAAAATTAGCTTCATGGAAACAGAAGATCTGGAGCTGAGAAGATGGCTTTGTCACTAAGATTAATTGTTGTGCAGAAATGAGGACCTGAGTTCAAATCCTAAGCACCCGTGTAAAAGCTGGGCATGGCCAAGTACACCCGTAAGCCCCAGCATGCAGAACAGAGACAGATGGATCACTGGGCAGCCAGCTAGTCTAGCCAGAATGCCGAGCTTCAGTAAAAGACCCTATCTCAGAAATTAAGGCTGTGAGTGATAAAGGACATCTGACATCTTCAGCCTCAGCATGCACACATGGGGGCACATGCACCAACACGTGCACACAAGACAAGAAAAGAAAAAAGATACCAGCATATCATAAGGTACCTTTAAATATCTCTCAATTTGAGCACTCAAGTAATTCTTTCATGTTCTACAACATATTTCATGTACTTTAACTCGGATAGCAGGTTTTTTCCCTTTCATCATTCATTTGTTTTTTTAGAAAAATGCTTTATATTTTTATTGAATTTTTGAAAATTTCATACAATATATTTTTAGCATATAGTCATTCATAATTTTAAAGTAATAAAAATCTTAAAATGATTGAGATCATGAGGCAATGAAAATGGAGAAATAACACTTGATGTCAGCTCTCACCTGTCTCATCAGGCTTACTTTTGGGTAGTAAATGAAATTGATTTCTTGCTCATTTTGAAGATGGAGAAACAGAGCCTCAGTCAGATAGGGTAAATATCTTGGCTAAGATACATTCATACTTCTCTCCCCCCACTCTTCTCTCCCTCTCTCTTTCTCTCTTCCTCCCCCCAACGTGTCTGTGTGTGTTTCCGTACACCATGCATGTATATCTGTGTGGGTGGGTGAGCGAGTGTAGCTTCAGGCGGCTCAGCACTATGGTGCTTTCTTCCCAGCACACTGGTGCTCGGCCAATGCTTGGTCGGCTGACACCTGTGTCTTGATCATACCTATGAAAAGGGGAAACTCATTCCGTTCCGTGGATATTGATTTTTATTCATCTTCCCTTCCTGTTTTACTTCTTGTTTGTTTAGGCTTATGATTTAAACAGAATAACAATAACCCCCAGCACAGTCATCCATGACTACTTTGTGGAAACAAGCAGAGACTTGTACTCTAACCAGCAGTGGTGGAGGGAAGGCCATTCCTTTTCTTCCCTTTCTCATCAGTGCTGTCTGCTGGTTTGGTTTTTGTTCTTCCTCAATGCAGGTTTAGTAGGAATGCACCTCATGCTATAGCATCACCTGCCCATGCTATAGCCTGGCTCTAGGCATTCCTGCAACTCGAGAGGAAAGACTACTTCCAAACCCCTGGACAAAAGACCCTCAAGTTCCCCACTAAAAATGACTGTATCTAAAGTCTCTCATGAAGTCAAGCAAGAAACAGTACAAGAGGGTGCTGTTGCGATGGCTGCCCACTGCAGGTGTCCTTGCGGTCTAGTTTGGTTCTCATCTGTGTTCCTGTCTGTTTTCTTCCACTGTCTAAGTAGACACAGCCTCTGAAATACTACCAGTTCTAGCATGTAAGAGGTTTTGAGTTTTCTAAAATGCTCTACTGTGAACAATGACCTTGTGGTGTCAGAACTGAGAATTCTCCTGTGCCCACTGGGTATCATCCACACACCTCCTTCGCTTGCTCCCCAGGAGCCCAGATTTCAATCAGACTTTCTTTCTCTTAAAGCCACTGTACATCCTCCCCTCAGCCTCAGTTTCACTAATGACTTTGCTTCCCATCTCACTGAGAAAACTGAAGCATTTAGAAAACCTTTGCCCCAGATTAAGAAAGTCAACAAACAAGAGTGAAGGAAAAAATACAAGCTTCACAGTGTTAGAAGCCTAGAAGCCTCTGTCCCCTGTCCCCTTGAGTCCTTCACCATGGAGGACTGACATGTGGCATCCAAAGCCGCTCCCTTCCCTATCCACGGACACTAGCCCTGTCTCATAAAGGGACACAGTCCCATGATTTTCTTTTTCCCAAGTGCCGTGTGTTCACAGCTACTGGTTCTTAGCAACACTGTACTAGTTTGCTGTTATTTCTCTCATGTTGAAAAAATAGTCTCTTGACCTTTGACTCGGACTCTCCAACACTCTCCTATTGTTTTGACTCACTTTCAAGTCAGAACTCTTTGGAAGAGTTGTCTTATTGCCTATGAATTTTTTTCCCTCCCACCCCACACCACCCAAAACTTTCCTTACGTTCGCAGTGATACTCACGTTGCTAAATTGAGTTGTCACTTTTCAATCTTTATCTTCTTTGGCCCATCAGTAACATTGGCACCAGGTGATTGCTACTTGCCCTCGAAACACTTTTCTTGATAGTTTCCAACACATTGCAAACTCCTCTTTCTTTCCTTCCTCCCACCCTTGCTGTTGGTCTTCAGTCTTTGCTGGTTTTTCAGCTTCTCCCTAACCATGTCAATTTCTGTGCCTTTGTTAGAGTAGCAAATAGCCACATAAATTTAACTGATCAAGACCTAGTCTGTCGGAAAACTCACCTTTCCAGTTTCAGTAGTCAATCATCTGGTCATAGGACCACCCTAGAAAGGCAGGTTCACCTTCAGTTATAGTAAATAAATGGGCAGACTACCTAGAGATAGTGAACGTTTCCTGCCAGGAAACCCGCCTCCCGGTACAGAGCTTCTGGACTGGACTGCAGACATGTAGGTCTCTGTAAGTCTGCCCGCTTTTAAGCATAATCTCTCCTTTTCCTCTTCATATCACTTTTCTAAACATGCTTTCTGTAATGCTTTGAGCTGCCCTAGCATCTTGTATTTCTTTACCTGCCACATGTCTGACTGCGTAGAATTTATATGAAATATCTAGAGTCCACAGAAGCACAGACGTAAGGTAGAGATTGGCTGTCAGCTATGAGGGAAGGGGTCCAGGAAGTGACTGCTAATGGGCTTAGGATTTCTTTTCTGAATGATGGAAGCATTCTAAATTGGTATATGGTGATGACTGTGCAACTTTGAATATATTAGAAACCACTGAATTATGTATGTGAATGGGTGAATTATATAGTATATGAATTATATCTCATATAATAAAGCAAAGCCACCATTTACTATGCCAGTGGGAACCCAAAATTGTGGCTGAGGAGTGAAGAGAGGAAATGTCCAGAGACAAGGTTGAAGGGTCAGGTGAAGGTCTTGTGCCATCTTCCCACAGAAGGAATAAACATTAGCTTATCAAGGAAAAAGTTACTGTGGTGATGGGGAAAAGAAACATGTATTTAATGTCACTTTTGTATGTCACTTTTGTAATGTCACTTTTGTATGTGTCTAACATTGCCTTATGACTGATTTTTTACTTTAGGGTATAGTACCTTGTAGTGGTTTTATAAACAATAAATATATGTTGAAAAAGAATCAAAACTAAAATGTAGACAGCAATAAATACCACAGTTATCTAGTGGGACATCTGTATGCAACTGCCTTGTTTGCTAAACCACCGGTAATAAGACTCAAGAAAATACCTTGGGACTGGAGAGGTGGCTCGGCAGTTAAGAGCACTAACTGCTCTTGCAGAGGACACAGGTTTGATTCCCAACACCCACATGGCAGCTAACAACTGTCCATAACTTCAGTTCCAGGGATCTGATGCCTTCTAATGACTTCCACGGGCACTGAACAACATGCAGGCAATACCCTCATACACATAAAATAAAGAAAACAAGAAAATATCTTAACCCCTGCCATAAACGTCTACTCTGCAAACATGTCTGCAGAAGGAATTTACTTTGGTGGTCTTTCTTTCCTATGACACTAAGCACCTGTGCTAATAATCACACAACCAATGCTGTAACAATGTGGGGGCACTTACAAGTTCTCTAAGGGAACTAAATTCAGGGCTCAGGTTCTTTGGGGAGGTAACTGTGCTCAAGCCCACTAGTGGGAATACACTTCCGATTTCTCCATGTAAGTTTCTTGGTGCCTTCTCTCTGCGTGGCTGGTTCTCAGTTTTCCTGAAATGGGTAGTAAGTGGTGTATGCTCACAGTCACTCTGGTGTTGGTTGAGAACAGTGACTGAGTAGAGAAAGGTGGGGGATTGAGGTTAGAAAGCCAATGACAGGACAATGGCAGAGTCCAGGTAGTGTGAACCATGGAGCAGAAGTGGAAGCACTTGAGAGCCACATGAGAAGAGGGAAGGGCCTGCTGCAGGGAGGAGGAGACAACTCTCCAGAGTGTAGTGTGATGAGGGAGAGTACTTGCCATCACCGCCCAAGGCACAGAATGGCAGCAGGTTAGCAGAAGAAAAAGGTGATTGATGGCTTTTGATACCTCAGACACCGATCTGAGCTGGTTTAAGTGAAGCACAGAAGTTGGAAGAGAGGGACAGTATCCATGCGTACTACATCCATTCTCTGCTGACCTTGATGGTAGCGATGAATGGGGTGAGGGTTAACACAGAGAACACATTGTACAGCAGGCATTGCTCTAAGCAGTTTTCTTATATTAGTCCTCAGGGTAACCTGGTACAAGAGTACGGAGAAGTCCTGGCTAGGATGGGAGGTGGAGATCTCTTCTTTTATTGTGCTTCTAATGCTTCTATTTTCTTGGATGTGATTTTTGTTTTCCAGGTTACTTGTCTTCAAGACTTCTTTGGCGATGATGACGTTTTTATTGCCTGTGGACCCGAAAAATTCCGTTACGCTCAAGATGACTTTGTCCTGGATCATAGCGGTGAGGATGTTCATTGACTATCTTCATAATCTTGGAAGGAAGGCTTGGAATTTACTCACTCATACATGCTAAGAGCTCTGGTATCTTGAAGAAAGATGAGCCAAGCATGGTGGTGCTCATCTGTAGTCTCAGCTACTCAGGAAGTCGAGGAGAATTACTTGACCCAGGAGTGAGTTCAAGGCCAGCCTTGGCAACAGAGTGTGCCCTTTTCTCAGCAGAGAAGTGTGTAGAAGGAACATGACTGACGTTGCTAATGGTGGTCATCTGAGAGTCCTTCTTAGGTCTCTCTTGGTTTTTCAACTTTGGGAAACATACATTGCTTATATATTTAGAAAAAAACTTCTGTGGGTAGGATGAAAAATACCTTTTTTTCTATTTTTACCTAAAAATGAAGCTTTTAACTATTAGCAGTAATTTTAGTGATTTCAAATTATATTGGTTCTAGGAAAATAGTTTTACCCTCTTAATCACTATAAACCTATTAAAATAAAAGTGATTTTTTTAAGCTGATAGTAAAACTTGATTTTTAATGAGGTAGAATCATGTAGCTGTAATGTTTTATGGAGGAGATGAATATTAGAGCTACAGCCCCACTCTTAAAAATGAGCAAAGTTAGTTTTACAAACATAGATGGATGGCAGACAACCTCCTTTGTTGTGGTTGTAAGAGCCTAGACTTACAGGAATATTCCAACAAATAAATGCTGTGAGTACAGATGTTTATGAAAATGTGAGATGCTGCATTGTGTGGTGTTAAACTGCCATGTGTAAATCTTTGTTGCGCTTTATGGTCCCCAAGCACTTGCCCTTTATCAGCCCTTTGTTTCTGCTTGTTTTACTTCTTACCTTTGTCAGATTTCTTGGAGGGTTTCTATATTGTGTCACTTTATTGGAGGCACCCTACTGTAGACGGGTAAGACCACGGGGAAGTCCTTAGTAGCAGAAATGTCCTTTCGTGTTGTCTGCGTGGATAATTACCCCATTCCTGTGAGGTTAAGACTGACTGAGATGTTCATTATCCCATCAACTCAGTTTTACATCTTTCTGAATTTTAGCTTTGGTTTCATGATGATTTTAACAATAGTCATTTTGAACATGGAGACACTGAAACTAAATTCTATGTTCTAGGTTGTAGGTTTATTTGGGTAATAGTGTCAGTGTGAGAAAAACAGAGTTCTTCAAAAGGATTGCGAGAGCTTGTTCTAGAGGCAAATTTGAGTGTTAGGGCCTGGGAACACAGATTCAGGTTACCCCAAGTACCATTTTCCAAAATGGTAACAATATCATGAAGTCTTTATGACAGTAGAACACAGAAAGTCATAATCAAGACACTTTAAAACACATTAGTAGAGCTGGGTGTGGTGGCACACGCCTTTAATCCCAGGACTTAGGAGGCAGAGGCAGGTGGATCTCTGTGAGATCGAGGCCAGCCTGGTCTACAGAGCAAGTTCTAGGCCAGCTGGGGCCACAGGGAGACTCTGTCTCAAACAATAACAACAGCATCAAAACACATTGGTAGAAATGTCAGGTTAGATGGGTTACAGCAAAGTTGGGGAATGTCTGCTAAAGGCCTGCTGACTTTCTTAGTTTTGGGGTTTGGTGGAAGCTAGGGCAGTATTCATACATTTCAAAAGGATTTATTAGATAGTCACCAGATGCTCTATAATACACAGAGGAGGGCAATAAATGGTCATTCAGAGGACTTAAGTAGCCCAAGATAATTTGGCTCTCGCTCTGCAGCATCCCAACTCTCCAAAGTTACTAAAGTTTTAATTAAGTAGATCATCCTTGTAGAATGTTCAGTGTAGGTGTGACAACAATAGCCACAATAATAAAACATTTATTGAGTGCTTACTATGTATATGCTTGAATGACACTTAGTGCTCTATAGGTAATAAATTTATCATCACTAGTTGGCTCATTCAGGCTTTTGTTGTTATTAGTAGTGTTGGTGGTGGCCATTGATGGTCTCTTAATAGTTAAGTGAGCCCTTTTAATTTCTAGTTATTTAACCTTCTGCAAAATGGGAATAATAATTAGGTAGTTCATAAGATTTTGAGACTACGTGAATTAACATATGTTGTACAGCTAGGTTGTCCATTATATAGTAGTATGTGTTTTCCTAATTTTGTGATTATTCATATTATAACACCAGCATTATATGGTGATGTAAGAGTGAGACCACTGAGGACAAGTCAGCCTTCGGGTTGCAACAGCAAGAGGTTTATTTAGTACACAGGTACCTGTGGGCACAAAGTCTCCTCGGAGGACTTGTGCGCCTACAGGCTGGGGTTTGGCACTTTTATAGAGCAGAAGCAGGGTACAGAAGCAGAAGCG